GCAAGGCAGGAAAGTCCCCCTGGGGTGTTTTACTGGGGCTGCCTCAAGAACCCCGATGGCAAGGAGCCCGGGTTTGTGAGTTCCCCGTCGGGGGCCGTGGTTTCTGTCCGACTGCCACAGGCTACATGAGAGAGGACTCCAACCGGTGACACACTTCATGTCAGGGACAACCTTTACAGCGAATGCCCAAGCCTTTTCTGTTGAGATTAAGCTCTCTCCTTGCACACCGGCATCAGTCTAGAAGTTGAAGTTCAGGGTTATGAAGCCTTATGTTGTAGCTGGTCACCCCATTCATTCGGCAAATGTTTCTCGAGCACTGTGTTGGGTATTAGGGACACCGCCTGTTTTCCTTTTAGGAGCCAGGAGCTCTGCCCAGGGCTGTGATCAGGTGACGTGTGTCGTCTGAGCTGAAAGCCAAGTGCACGATGGCATGAAACGACCATGCGAATCTGTTCTGCATTCTTAACACCTCACGGGGGCCGGGGCTGGAGGAAAAGCGTGTTCTATTTTTCCTTTTTTTTTTTAACTTCTTTCCTTCTTTAAAAAATGTTTGCATTCTGCATTTTGAGGGCTTCTTTTCCTCCGTTTTTTAAAACTGCTATTTCTAAAATCGCAGATGTAATACACACTCTATACCATAACACACACATCAACTTCCTAATCTCTTAGCTCACCAAATATTTATGGGCACCCACCGCATGCCGGGCCTGGTCCTAGGTGCTGGGGACAGAGGTGTGAATAAAGTAAAAGTCCCCGCTTAATGCTTTCTTTCGCCTTCTGCATACCCGGTGCCACGTCCTCAGGGTAACCACTGTCGGGGTGTGTATTGTTACAACGTGCGTGCGCGTGCACATACACACATAGAATTTTTGATTTTAGTTTTTGTTTGTTTGCCTGGTTTTTAAGTGGCTCTTTATCCCCCTGTATAAACACCTCATGAACTACCTCATCTTTTTTTCACAATTGCACAGGAGTTTGTTGCAAAGATATGTGTAACCAATCTGCCACTAACACACACTTAGGCATCTTCAAGTTTTCCTTATAATGAATAATGCCATAATATCCATGGCCTCCCTATCCAGATATACATTTGCCTTCCTGTGCATTTCTGTACCAATTCTGGAATTAAAGTTTCTGGATGGAAGAGAACATATATTTTAAATCCGATGGGTAATTTCTTGCCTTTGAACCCAGGGAAATTCAACACCCCCTTTGGTCATCAGCAGTCCTAGTGTTCCTTTCTAGGGTGATGAGAGGCCACCGTGAACATCCATAATGCTTTCAAGCACAGCGGGACGAAGCACTCAGTTTCCCACAAAGTGCGCATGCCTGGAGAGTCGGGGGGTCACGGGGGTCGCTGAGAGTGTTAACGACAGCCAAAGTGGGTACCAAGCGTGAGCTCACCCAAGCACGCCGACCCTCTGTTTCCCATTTTGCATGTTTGGCCCAGTGGACAGCAGTGATTTTGGGGGTGCGGTGAGCCCCTGGGGTTACATGCGGCTTAACCTATCTCTTCCACTTGGCGGTACGCTTACCTGTTTCGAGAAGCTTAGAGTCTTTTCACAGACGATCCTGGCACTGGCAGGGGAGGCGGGGAGTTCGTAGACTTGGGCTGTGGGTGGCGGGGGCCCTTCTACCCAGCTCTTCATCTGCTCATACATGGGGCTTGGAGGCGGGGGGCTGAGCAGGGTGGGCACCTGGTAGGTCTCCTGGGAGCTGGGGAGTGCTTCTTCCGGGGCTCTCAGGAGAGGGGGACAGGGCCTGTCTGCCGGGGCATCCGTGAGGACTTGGAGGCGGTTGGCAGGAGCCAGGCCTTGCCTCCCATGGAGCAAACACTTCCACCAGCCGTCGCTTTGTGGCACGTTCTGCTGTAGGATGGTGAGGATATCTCCCCTGCAGAAAGCCAGCTCGTCGGAACAGTCAGGGCAGTTGTCGTAAAGTGCCCTTGCCAAGCGTGTCTGGGGGCGGGAGGGAGGAAGAAGTCACTGTTATTGCTGATGCCGAGACTGCAGTACCGATGCCACCCAGTTGGGAATGGCAGGCCATGCTCTCCACAGCCATTTTATCTCCTCTCCAGCCAGAAGCTCTTGCTCCTGCTCCCTGCCTGATTCATCCCTACCTGTCCTTGGGGGTCTCAGGTGACATGTCACAGCCTCAGGGAAGTCTTACCTTCACCCTGAGACCGGGCCCAGTCTCCTTAGTATGTTCTCATGGCCCTGATTTAATTCGTGGTGACTCTGACCCTGGTAGGTACAGAACGGGCTGCAGCGCACAGTGGGGGCACAATCCTGGCTCTGTGATTTCCTAGCTATGTGTCCGTGAGCAAATGAGGCCTGTTTGCTTGTCTGTAAAATGGGAATAACAGTAATATCTTACCTCATGGAGTTACTGTAAAAATTAAATGGGCCGATGAGTATATAAAACTTGTCGAACAGCACTTAGTGCTCAGTAAAGGTTGGCTGTTACCATCATAATTATTATACTGCTCCTTGTCTAGTTCTTGTTAATTTTCTCCTGAAACGGACTGGCAGTTCCATGACTGCTGGGACCATATCTCACTTACTCGCTGCTCTGTCTCCAGCATCAAGCATGGATTCAGATGCATCGGAGATTCTCAGTAAATGTTCATTACTGCATGAACGACGCAGCAAAGGCACAGGGGTTTAGCGACTTGTCTCTGGTCGCACAGCCAGGATCGAAATCCAGTCAGGCTCCCTCATTCTCGGACCTATGCTTTTTCTGTGAGCCACACGGTTACCCCCCCAAAATCACTTTGTCGCAGCGGCAACACCGGTCAAGCCCCCTTCTCGTTGGAACTTTCTGCTGTAATTAAATGACAGCAATTTGTTTCTGTGTGTCCTGACCGAATCACTCCCCACCCCGTGTTACATCGACGCGTACTTATTCCAGAACAATTAGGAAATATAGGTCCCAGCACACAGTAGCTGTTCACTGGCGACTTGGCGAAGTGATGGGTGCGTAAGGGTGAGTAATGTAGCGCGCCATACTCAAGTCTCCGGGCGGGGAAGTGACACCGAGCACCAAGCTGAGGGGTCCTGTTTCTGTCTAGAGCAGGGTACTACGCAGGAAGCTCTCCTTGAGCCCCTGCCCACCCTCTTCGGTGGCCTTCAGTAAGAATGACCGCCGAGCTGTCCAGAACTTGGGCCTCCAGGCCCAGCTAGTCCGCACACTCAGTTACTGGCCCTTGAACGTGTCGTGAGCAGTGCCAGGTGAACGTGGGTGCTCAGCCTGGAGGATCCAGCACAGGTAAAGTATTTCAATGGAATGTAGTTTTAGACTCTTATCGAGAGTATTGATTAGAGGTCAAGACTTAGTAAAGCTACGTGGTACTTTACAATTTTCTTTCCAGTGAAAGAGGCAAATAATTTCCGTTTAGTAGCAAGAGACAGCCTGGAAGATTATGGGTTATTACTAGGTTTGTACCCAGCCCTGAAATCCCACCTTAACATCCCCTCATTAAGTTCTCTACAAATATCTACTTCCTTAAAGGCTCCTTGACCTGGTTTTGACATTTTCTGCTCCCCTCATTAAATAATCAGTTTAATGAGATTTTTGACACCAGTTCACTTTCTTTTTTGCCCAAGAGTCGTGATTATAGTTTTGGAAAATTATACATTGTCCACACTGGGAAGAAAAGGGAAAACAGAAACACGGTCTCCGGCCAGTCATCACGATTCCCAGGAAATACATTCCACAGTCTTAAAACCAACAGCCCATCATCTGAAATGGGCTCGCATTTGTCTAGAAATAAGACAGCGTGTGCGTTTGAACCGAGCGGTTGCTGCAATACAGCAGCTGCTGGGAAGGGGCCAGATTGTCATCAGCGTAGCCAGTGCATTCGCCTGCTGTGGAAGGCAGGGATGTTTTTCCAGAGAACAACGGGCTTGGATGGTCACCCATCCAGTGGGCACACACAGCTGTCCGAGATGGACAGGAACAGTCTTATTCTGGAGACATGGCTTACTTTGTACTTCCGGCCTGCTGAGTTCATTGCAGCTGGCCGTATCTTAAAGCGGGGGTTCCCAACCCCTGGGCCGTGGACCGGTACCGGTCCATGGCCTTTAGGAACCGGGCCGCATAGCAGGAGGTGAACGGCAGGCAAATGAAGCTTCATCTGTATTTGCAGCCGCTCCCCAGCGCTAGCATCACCGCCTCAGCTGCACCTCAGATCCTCAGGTATTAAATTCTCATAGGAGCACCAGTCCCTGGTGCCACAAAGGTTGAGGACCGCTGCCTTAAAGGATGTAAGCTCTCGGCAAAGGCGAATCCTCAATATGTCGCTATGACGTGGCTCTCGTCAGTATGGTAGCTTGTTATAGTTGGCAGCAGCTGTCTCTGGACACCTCATGCAATCAATTAATGTCTCAGAATTTTAACAACAAAGACCGTCAGAGTTTGTGTTACAAAACAAAGAATTAAACACATCTGAGAAGTCTCGGGGAGCCCCTCGCCTAGAGAGAGGAGATAACAGTGGGCTCTACTGAGTGGGGACCTATAGTGTGTTGGGTGCACTGAAGTCATTATATCACTTAATTCTCAGAAGCCTCAGAGGTATAAGTTTACCTTTTGGGGGGGGAGGTACAGTTTAAATTTTTAAAATTTATTTTGAAATTTAAGCATAGTTAGTATACAATGTTATATTAGTTATGTTAGTTTCAGGTGTACAATGCAGTGATTTGACACTTTTGTACCTTACAATGTGATCGCCCGACGAATCCTAGTCATCCTCCGTCACCATGCAAACGTATCACAATGTTGCTGACCCTGTTGCCCTTTATCTTTTCGTCCTCCGCCCCCTCCCGTCCGGTAACCACCCCTTCGATCTCTGTTGCTATGAGTCTGTTTTCGTTTTGTTTTGTTTGTTCGTTTGCTTTGCTTTTTTAGATTCCGAACGCGGCCAGGCGGTATTTGTCTTCGTCTGACTCATTTCACGTAGCATGATACCCAGAGGGAGGTTTTCTCATCCCCATTTTACAGACAAAGGAACTGAAGGGCAGAGAAATCGAAGGACTTGCCCAAGGTCACTTGGCCTCTATCCGGTCTCCTCACATCCATTATCACATCTTTCTCCTTATAACTCATTCGCCAGACACCAGCCAGAATGATACTTTATGTACAAAAATCAGATCACGTTGGTCTCTAGTTTAAAAACCTCCAGTTCCTTGGAACAAACACCCTCCCCGATGGCCCTGCCCCAGCGGCCTCCCTACTCCTGCCGCCAATGTCCCTCCAGCCGCATTTTCTTACTTTGATCAGGAGCATTAAGCTTGTGTCCACCTCGTGCCCTTTGCCCTTGCCATTCCTTCTGCCCGGAATACTCTTTTGCAAGATCTTTGCATGACTAGCTCCTCTTTGGACCTCAGCTCAAGAGTCGCCTCCCACCGAGGCTGTCCCTGACCACCCACGTGAGGCCCGGCTCCTCTGTAATGTAGGGAGAACATGGAGCGGCAGTGGCGGCACATGTCACTGTGCACCTATGTTCCTGGCGCTGTGCTAATCTCTGTCTAGATGACACACGGAAGCAAATGACAGGCCTCGGCAAAGGAACCTAATAACAATCGCAATCGTCACTCAGGTATTAATCTAGAAATGTTCGTGTGAATATTTAAAAGATGAAAAAGGATACGTGTTTATATTTCCGTTCCCTGTGGCACACAGGCAGATAGATTCTGGGTACGATGGAAGAACGAACCAATTTCCAGACAGGACATTTCCCTCAAATGCCCAGATCCATAATACAGCTGGGGGTGGGGAAAGGAAAATGAATAAGTATCTGGAAGGAAGAAGGGGAAGGAGCTCAGGGGAACGAAGGCAAAGAATGAGAGATTCCCTGTCCTCATGGCGATGGCAATGCCTCTGGGGAAATCATCACATGCCTGCCCAATTAATCGATGCTGAATCGGCAATGAGCCGAGGGAGTAATTAGCTACGGTTGGAGAAAACTGGGAGGCCATTCACGCATTCGTGCGTGCATTCAGTCATTCATTCACTCATTCAGCAAGACTGTTCTGAGCATCTACGATACGCCCAGTGCTCTGCCGGAGATACGGCCGTGAGCAACGCAGCTCCTGGTTTCACGCCCATGCCCGTTCTCATCAGATCAGAGATACAGTAGGCCCTTGAACGACGTGGAGGTCGGGGGCACCCCTCCCCCGCCACACACACACGGAATTAAAAATTCACGTATAACTTTGGATCTCCCAAAACTTTACTCCAAATAGCCTACAGTTGATCGGAAGCCTTACCGAAAACATAAACATTCGATTAACACACCTTTTGTATGTTATATGGGTGATAGATTGTATTCTTACGATAAAGTAAGCTAGAGAGAAGAAAACGTTATTGAGAAGGAAAATAGATTTACAGTACTTATGGAAAAAAATTTGCGTTTTAAGGGGACCCGTGCAGTTCACGTCCGTGCTGTTCGAGGGTTGACTCTATGGGGTTTCTGCTCCTCTGAAGAGCGATGAGAGAGACAACAGGGAGGGATGAGCAATTGTGAGTGCAGCTGGGAAGTGGCAGATGGATGAGGGCTTAGGGAAAACTCCCCTGGGAGTGGGGCTGCGCAAGTTGCTATCTGAGAGTGAGGAGCAGTTAGTCAGATCGGGAGGGCGGGAGAGATGATGCGGGCGACCTTTTGGGGATGTGGGGGCCGGGGGAGGGCGCGCGTGCGTGTGTGTGTGTGTGTGTGTGTGTGCGTGTGTGTGTGTGTGCGCGTGCGTGAAATAGGTGGTGAGCTGAAGGAACTGAAAGGTGACCAGGCTGTTTGGAGAGAAGTTCGCAGAGGGTCTGGGGCTTGATTTCTATATCGACTGCTGTTTATATCTGGTTGCTGGGCGGGAAAGGGATGGGAGGGAGCTGACGACGCTAAACGAAGCTACTCGCCCAGTCAAGGTGAGCTGCCCACGGCTCAGCTGAAGGCGGAGGTTGGATTTAGGGTGGCCGTAGGGAGAGAGTGATGAGAAACTGCATGCACGCTTTGAGGTGAGTCTTGAGAGAAAGGCAAGGTTATCATCGCCAGAGAAGGGAGGAGAAATGCAGTATGGACCAGGAAAAGCAGGGAGCAGAGAAGACCTGGTTCTCACGTTATCTTCTGCAGTGGCACAAGGAGCCAGCAGCCAGCAGCTGATGCCACGTCATGGCCCAGACTGTGTGCAGGCTGCTCGCAGTCTGAGGCTCTGTCTGCCGGCTCCTGCTGCAGGAAGTAGTGAATGAGTAAGTGCCCCAATCAAGAGATAAAGTGCAAGGACCGCTGAGCGGCAAGCGATCACTGTGCCCCTGCTCTCCGCGTCATGGAACCCCATTGTTAACAGGACAGACGCTTTTCTTCCAACACATCCTTTGAAAAATGTCTGTGTTGAGCATTTTAGCTCCCTCCTCACAGATTCCATGACCGACTTCCAAGAATTCCTAGTTAGTTTTAGAAGAAGGTGCCGGAAGCGTTCATACTTCCCCTATGAAGGCCATGAGCCGATAGGTACATAGAAACCACAGTTTTTTTTAAAAGCATACACTGTACATGTTTCAAAACCTTTGCTGTTTGGAAAATGTGAATCCTTCGAGTTCATCAAGGCTTCCCCTGGC